AGGCGTACTTTCGAGATGCGCATCGAAATCTCGTCTCCAACAGCCCCGCCAGCAGTGATGCAACTTCCCAAGTAGACAAAGCTCTCCACAACCTCCAGTGTCTCACCAGCAAGCGTGAGTGCAGGCAGAGGCACCTGCCAGTCTTGAAGGAGAGCCTTGCATTTGGATGGCGAAAAGCACATACCGTACTTTGATGCTTCAATCGTCAAGCGGTTTAATGCAAGTTGGACGACCTGTGGATCGTCACCCAGCAAGACGATATCATCAGCATAATCCAAATCAACAACTCGACTACCTGGGAGGAGCTCAACGCCAGCGTTCAACGAATCGCTCAGAGCGTTCTTCAGGACATCCTCAATGGCAAAGTTGAATAGGAACGGAGAGATAGGGCATCCTTGTCGAACTCCACTGGAGACTACAAAGGTAGGCGAAAGCATGCCATAAGCCCTAACCCTGCCCGAGGTCAGACTGTATAGAGCGCGCAGTATGGAGACGAACTTCTCGGGGACACCGTTCCTCAGAAGGCACTGCCACAGTACTGTACGATCGACAGAATCGAAGGCTGCACGGATATCCAGGAACACAGCAATCGTTGGCCTCTGATACACATGGCGGAGCTCGAGGATCTGGCGAAGTGTGAAGATTTGATCGATGCAGCCGCGACCAGGGCGAAACCCAGCTTGTTCTTCTCGTTGCAACGATTCGCGTGTTGGGGATAGCCTGCGAAGTATGATGGACACCAGCAGCTTGCAAACGACGGGGACTAAACTTATTCCTCTGTAGTTGGAGCAGATTGTGCGCAGGCCCTTTTTGAAGATGGGTACGACTATCGATTCACCCCAAGATGATGGAACCTTCTCTTTCGACCAAATTTTCGAGAACAAAACGGTGAGTTCTCGGACCAGCGATGCGCCACCATCTTTAAATAGAGCTGGGTGAAGACCATCAGGGCCGGGAGCTTTATAACGCTTCAGGTGCCGGAGCTCCTGCTGGATTTCCTGGGAAGAGGGAGGGTCTGTTGGGGTAGACCACTCGGCCCCAGCGCGAGCGCCAGAGGTAGCAGATGGAGCTGGGGGCCAACAAAACTGTGAGCCAAAATGTTCGGCCCATCGCTCCAACCGTCGTTGAAGATTGGTGATTAAGGTGCCATCCTCTTCGTATATTGTTTCACTTATACCAGATCGAACACCTTCGGTGACTCGAAGGAGATGGAAGAGTTTCCTGGTATTACCACAGAGACTAGCAAGCTCCATCTCCCTAGCACGTTCACACCACCAAGCTTCGCGGTCCATTTGCAGACTCCTGCGCAACTCTCGACCAAGGTATTGGCGTTCTTCAACGTGTCTCGAATTCGATGGGATCAAGCGGCGTTTGTCCATCCGCGACAAGGAGTCGGCGGAAATCCAATGCCTCTCAGGGAGGGGCAAGGGGCAGTGACTTTATTTAGTGGCGAGTCACATCCGCCACGTCGCAGTGTTGTTAAACGGACATATGTGGCTTTTTATAGGGAGAACGCTTGCCAGGCGAAAACCCACCACGTCCTGGAACACTGCCGCCGAACCATTCGCTGGAACGGGAAAAACCCGAACCA